CAGTTCATGCATGAAAATCGAGGCCAGACTTAATGCAAAATAATAAGTGGACACTAATCAGAAGTCAGAATGTTACTCTTCCTAAACCATTAGAAATTCCCAAGAAAAGAAATTTAAAAACAAATACCGTGTTTCTCACAAAATAAGGCCGGGCCTTTTTTTTTTTTTTTTTTTGAGCCCTGAAAAAACAGCTAGAATGTCTTTTCGGGGGTGAATTAATTTCTTCCCCCCGCCCCCCTGCACCAGCGCCGTCTCCAACAACAGCGTCTGAGTCGCTCCCACTTTTCCCCCGTTCCCGTAACAGCAGGAAAAAAAGATTTTGAGGTACCTGGGAGCGCTGCACGCTGCGTTTTGGTTTAATCCTGAGGGGCTGGGTGGGCGTGAGAAGAGCCGAGTGAGTGTCTCTGCTGCTGCTACCCTTGGTGCTCCAGCCTCAGGCTCTGCAAGTTTGCAAAAGTCCCGGTGCACAGCCCGTTCCTGCATTCCAAGCACCCAGGCCGAGCTGCAGCTGTCCCTCTCTCGCCAGCGCCATCTCCAATAACAGTGGCAGCAGCGGAGGGAACCGTGGAAGTTACAGAGGCGCCTCCCCCACCCAAGAAGCAGCTAAAACGCTTCCTCTCAATTTTGCATGTTTTAAATTAGGCCTAAATTTGGGGGGAGGGGATTAATTTCATTTTATGCCTAGAAAACATGCTGGGCCTTCCTATTGAGGGGGGCGTATTGTTGGAGAAACATGGTTTTATGAAACAAATGAATTTCCACCCTATATCTTTAGCTGGAAAAAAGGCCAAAGCTTTTGTCATGTTACATATGTTAATTGGTTGAGCACTGTTCATTTATAAGCAGATTTGCTCCATATATGTCACCTTTTTAGATCATTCTGGTGTCATGATAAAAGAGTTGAGGCTTGCTTTGAGAAAGGAAAATGAAAAAGTAGGATTACATTAATGTTTGCTTCACAGGAAGGTTGCATTTTTATATTTATTAGACCCTCTCTGTACATTAACTAAAATGGGCCTGCTGCATATGACTTGCAAATTTGGGGACAACCACTAATAGGCAGCAGAGTTGGTCTTTTGCATCTCTCTGCTGCTACATAGCATCCATCTGGATTTTTGTAGTCCAGATCTTTAGGCCTAGTTAGCTTGAACTTCAATGTAAGAATAGGAGGAGGAACCTTGGTACAAATAACTGAAAGAAAAAGCCATTTGATATGAATCATTTTGATAGTTTGTTTTGAAACCAACATTGCTTATTGTTAACACTGGGTCATATTTTGGGGTTAGTTTTCAGGCATATTTCTTACTAACAGACTCCCACTGAAATCTGGAGGAGTAAATACAAATGAGAAAGCCAAGCAGAGATTTAAGAATTTATCACTATGCAAAACACTCATATGCATCATAATGTCCTGGCATCATGTTAAGTGTTTTCTTGCAAAATTATGCCTTGAAAACGTAACTGGTAAAATAGCTTTGAATCCTGTTCCCCAGCCAATTTCTGTTTTCCTAGTATGAGTTATTTCTGCTTATCAGTACATCTATAAGTGAAGCAGTTTTGGGGAGAAATGTAAGATAATCACAAAACGCTCTATGTTCTTCTTTATAGCAGCAATCCTTTTCTATTATATGCCATTGCCCTCAAATCTACTTTCATATGTAAAAGACCAAATAAAACAAAATTTTCAGTTACTAGGATTATAAATGTTAAGCAGTAGACAATTTATTTGCATTCATTAATGGGAAAATTATGAGTAGTTATACTTTGCCAAACACAGTTCAAAGGTTTTCTTTCCATTCATGGATAAAGTGTTCTTTTCAGGACTCCCCCCCCCCCTTCCCCCTCGTGCATGAATGCTTGGAAAGAGCCAGTATTCAGTAAGTTCACATGTACAGGAAAACATTATGGCCAGAATTAATTTTGGTAACTTTGCCTAAGGTCCTTGACTTAGATCCACAATTGACTCCAAAATTTGTGTTGCTAAGCAAGTTAGGTGAGTTTTGCCCCATTTTATGACCTTTCTTGCCACAGTTGTGAAGTGAATCACTGCAGTTGTTAAGTTAGTAACACGGTTGTTAAGTAACACAGTTGTCAGAAGGTTGCAAAAATGTGACTCTGGGACATTGCAGCCATCACAAATCCATGCCAGTCTCCAAGCGCCTGAATTTTGATAATATGTCCACAAGGATGCTGTAACGGTCATAAGGGTGAAAAACTATCATAAGTCACTTTTGTCAGTGCCATTGTAACTTCAAATGTCATTATACGAATGGATGTAAGTCAAGGACTATCTGTATAGAGTTTTTGTAAATAGAGATTGTAGTGCTTTTTTGTTCAAAGTTTGTATCAATTAAAATGTCAGCTGCTATTCAAAATCTACACTGAGCAAAATGTGGCAAATTAAAAAGTGCTGTATGTCCTGCTGCTTTCTTCATTGTGAAGCACTAATGAGAAATCCAGCACAATCAACTGTCAGGATACATTATAATAGCACACAGGGTGGGTTTGTGGACTTTTTTTCCCTGTGAACATCTAAGAAACTCAAATGTGCTTTTAAGGCTCCCATTTTCTACTATGTTATTAATGGCTGGAAAAGTTTTCAATACAGTGGAATCCAAACAGCTACAAACAGCCTTTGTTTAAGAGTAGGTTACTTGAATTCCTAAGTGAACCTATTATTTACTTTGATCAGTGAAAAACAGATGAGTAATGGCAAGAGATGTTCTTGAGAGATGTCTTAGGCATATGATAAAATCTTTGCCCAAACTGTTCGAAATACACCTTCGCTTCCACTAGAGGGGGATTCCTTCCAGACAAGGTTGTAATATGTTAAGAAGAGCAATTCCTGCAGTCCTGACATTTTGCAGGAGGGCTCAGCAGGGTTTATTTTACCACTGTGTGCTTTCACAAAGGCATCCTTTTGTAAGGGTGATGGCATAAAAACTAAAAAGCCCTTTCCTATCAACAAATAGAAGTTGTGGATACTTTACCCAGATGCCTCTTGACGTGAGATGAAATGTTGTATCAGAGAATTGAGGACAGCTAGTCCTCAGGCTAGAACCCTAATTGGGATTGGAATTCCTGTTGCTAAGCAAAGGAGTCATTAAGCAAAAGATCATGTGCTTAGTTATGGCAGCCCAGATTGCAATCAAGAGGCCAGAACCGCACAGTTGTTAGGCTAGGACCTCAAATTTATCCTGCCTTGTGCAAATTGCCTCTATTTCAACCTTCCCCCATCTCTACCCTTTTGGCTGCCCTGCACTCCTCTAGCTGTTCCTGCTATATTCCACCACCCCTCCCAGCTGACCTTCTTGTTTTCTCTCTTCTGTGGCTGGGCCTGAGATTCCAGCTCTGGGCAAAGAGGAAGCAGGATGGAACCAGTGGAGGAGATAGGGCAGCGCAATAATCTCCTGCTAGCGCAATAATTGATACCTGGCAGATTGTGAAGAGCGTAGCAGGACAGGCTGGAAAGGTGAGGCAGAGCAGCTACATCACAAGGTGAAGTAGGAGAGAGATGGCACGTCCCAGGCACAGGTGGCAACTGTGGGAAGCAAAATTTTGGGGTGGCAGCAAAACTGGAGGAAGTGTGGGAATGCGGTTTATGTGGGAAAGGCTTGCAGTCTCCAACTGGGGGTGGAGGTGAGCCCAGTGCCAGCTAAGCCTACCTGCAGGCCCTCTGCTCGTTGGCCCAACCCTCCTCCTGCAAAGCCTAGCGAAAGGTCAGCAGATTCCAGTGCACTTCCAGGTCTTCCAGCGGCTTCCTAGTCTTGCAGGCCTTGCATGCTCCCATTGTCAAATGAGAGTTCACTGCCCTGCTGCACTTGTCCCAGGTGTCCCAGGTGTGTCCCAGGTGTTGCTTGACAAGCACCAGGTTCCCAAGCCAGTAGGAGGAAGAAAAAGCCAAAGGTTAACTGGGATGGCAGCATAGGTAGGTGGCGGAGGACAAGGGGAGAGATAAGCAGTGGGAGAAGTTAATGCAGAGGCTGTTCATGAAGGCAGAAAAAATGTGAGGGAGCTACCTACTGCTATGTGATCCTTTCAATGAACTCTTTACAGCATTCGGTTTTTTAAATTTTCTTGTAAGAAACTTCAGAATTAAAGTAGTGTATCTTCAGTTATTTTCTTAGAGTTCTTCGTACTGATAGTCCTCAACTTATAATTGATCATTTAATCTAGCATTCAGAGTTACGATGGACCCACCCATCCCAATTTGTACTTATGACCTGGTTCGAAAGTTCTAATTTCCCCCCTGTAGTCACATGACCACATTTCAGGCATTGGGCAAATGATCTGCATTTATGGCTGTTTGCAGTGTCCCATGGTCATAATTTATGACATTTTTGTCAAAAACTGGTGTTTATTTCCAATTTTTGGCAAAACACATAGTGGACACTACATTTGCTTAATGACTGAGGCAGTCACTTAATGACTAGAGATTCATTTAACAACCATGGAGATTTTATTTTATCTACATTTCGTGTTTCTAGACAGCCCATCTCACTCTGGGAGGGTCTTGCTTAATCACAACCAAGCAAAACAAGTTTGTAAAACTGGGTGATGAACTGCTTTACGACTGTAGTGACTTACAACCATGCTTCATTATGGCCATAATTCAAGGACTACCTATAGTTTAAGAACAAAGTACAGTTTTGAAGCTATAACTTCCTCCCTAAGAAATGTGACTGATTTCTGATATTAATGCTGGTCCCATCCAAGACAAGAGTATAGCTTGCCTTCTGGGGACAAACTATTGCATAAATATTATATATTGTGCCACATTTTATTTGGCTACTTTTTATTATGGCATAAAAGTTTTCCTCCATCCCTAAAAAAGTGTTTTTATTATTTTGCTGAGTATAATTTCTGCTTAGATCAGCACTGCTTTTTTAATATATGAATTTAAGTGACACAATGTGTGTCTGTTATAGCTTGCAAACTCTCTGGCTCTGTTCACTTTTAAGTGACTACTTTTGAAATTTTATTTCTCCTTATAATTTCAGGTTGAAGTTTTAGCCTCGGAGGATGCTTCATTTGGACTCAAGGTCTGTAGATGATGACATTTCTTTTCTTGGGTACTCTTAAGTGTAAAACAGCTGGTTTAATTTTATATAAGAACATTTACTTTTTCCTGAGAACTATATCATTAATTCCTATCCCAAGTAATATTTTGAGATTATTTCACTCAAGATGGCATTTCATATTGTGTTTCACTTTTTTTCTAAATAAATTTTCTTTGCAAGAGAGATCAAGTTGGTATATGAGAACACATTAGAAAGTAAAGCTAATCACCTTTTAAATATAACATTTCATAGAGGATGGATTTTGTTTTGTAGTTCAGTAATGTGGCTCATGAGGACATGGTGGCTCAGTGGCTAAGATGCTGAGTCTGTCAATCAGAAAGTTCGGCAGTTCGATTCCTAACATTGCATAATGGAATGAGCTCCCATTACTTGTCCCAGCTTCTGCCAATGTAGCAGTTCGATAGCATGTAAAAATGCAAGTGGAAAAATTTGATGGGAAGGTAACAGTGTTCTTTGCGCCTTCAGTGTTTAGTCATGCTGACCACATGACCACAGAGACGTCTTCGGACAGCGCTGGCTCTTTGGCTTTGTAATGGAGATGAGCACTGCCCCCTAGAGCCAGAAACGACTAGCATGTATGTGTGAGGGGCACTTTACCTTTACTTTAATGTGGCTCATGCATTTACACTGAGAGCCAGATGATTTCTGAGCACTTTTGCAGTTTTCGCATGCTTGATACTAAATATCTGACAGGATAACTTTTTAAGGTTTTAGATCAAGGGTCTTCAAACTTGGCAAGTTTAAGACTTGTGGACTTCAACTCCAAGAATTCCTGAGCTAACATGACTGGAGGAGGAATTCTGGGAGTTGAAGTCCACAAGTCTTAAAGCTGTCAAATTTGAAGTCTCATTTTAGATTTACTTTTACAAATATTAACTTTATTTGTCATTAATGAAATTAGGATCTTATTTTTTTAATGGATGTCCTTAATGGTAAATTTTACATAGGCTACATAATGGACTAGTGAGAAAAAAAATTGAATAGTGGAAAGGAGTAGACATCTGAAAACCTAATCTTAAATCATGAATTTTCGGTTGTTAAATAGCCATATGATATAATACGTCAGAAAGGTATAGAAATTGAGTAATCACCAAAGTAGAACAATTGGTAGGAAAAGAATAAAGCTCAACATTCATGATGAAAAACTATGCACATAGTTGACACTGTGGAGGGAGAATCAAAATTACCACTTTATTAGTTAGTAAATATTTATGACACTATGATTTACTACTGTTTTATTGTGTTGTGATATCTGGGAAACTGATTTAAAATAAATTATTAAAAATAAATAGAGCTGCTCCAAAATTGTTTGAAGTGTTTAACATATGGTATTCCGTAGTATTTTCTAGTTTGTATTTAATACGCAGCAGGCATGCAGAACATTCACTGAATATTTAATAAACCTGGAGGGTCAGCTTTTGCAAACTCATCTCCATAATCCTTCATGCTAGCTGAGTAAACAGAAGTATTATTGAAGATTATTGTAGCCAATAGCTCTCATTGTGTGACCCATTTTGGAAAAGACTGTTATTGTTTTAAGGTTAAAGTTGTACTTTGGGAAAGATATTTAGATCAATTCGTATGTGGCACAAGCTGGGTATTTGCCAAGTGAAATTTTCACTTTCATTTAAATGCACTTACTTCAAGCTCTGTCTGTTTGGCATTAACAAATAAGTGACTTCAAAGTCACATTCTGGGTTGGCTACTACAATAGATGACTAAGCTAGAACATCTAATAAATATTTTCTAAAAGCAAATATGCATAGAATGCTTTCATGAATAAGCAATTCACCAATCCTCATATTACAGCCACTTCAGGAATAATGTTGCTTTTTGCTGTTCTGAATGCATATACCTTATCAGAGGATTTCAGTGACAATAACATAAATCCTCTTCTCTTTTTAGTCCTATGTAACGTTTCTGGAACATGCTTATTTCATTACGTTTCATGAGATTCTGACATCCCTGCTTCTATCACATTGTTGCTTCCTTATGTTATAAAAATAAATAATTCAGTGCAATTTATCTTCCACAATCATTTGTGTAATTGACCTCCAAATATGAGTTTATAAACTTGTTGCATCAATAATTATCAAACAAGCATGGAGTATTTGTTGATTTAAAAAAAAAAATCATTGGTTTTTAGTTTATTTTTTTATTTTCTGATCTGGTACTGGGGGAAAGGAAGAACAGTTGTGTCATGTAACGTATTTCTTAACTTAAAACTTCACTAGATATTGCACATACTTTCTATATTATTGTATCCAGTGTTTTCTATTTTCCCCCCTGAACAATCAACATTTTATTAACAATACCACCACATTTTATTAGCCATTTTCTTTTTAATCTTCTACTGATGGTGCTTCAACACATTTTGCTACTGCAAACGGAACACGAAATCTTTGTATAGCCAAAAAGCCTTTTTGTACATTCAGAGCTCAACTGCTACCTTCATCATACCTCCTATGTGCTGTTTCCTTCAGCAGCTTGCTTCATTTTACTGCTTGGTAGAACTGGCCCAGCTCCCTACAGGCAAAGATTCATCCAGAATAAGCCAAGAAATTCTTAGCAAAATGAGGCCTAGTTGTGGGAAACAAATACACTTTAACATATCGAATAGCCAGTGTGTATTGTGTAAAAAAATCCACAGTTGTTTCTAAGCTATGAAAACTAAATTTTACATAAATAGTCCTAAATCACCATGTTAATAACTTTCAGTTTGAAAGAATTAATATTATATAACTGAATTTCTAGTAGTTTCATATGAACTGTCTCATCTGCCTTTAAATATTTTTGGAGAACTAATGAAACAGACTTTGGAACTAATTTCATCCAGGTTTTCTCAAAATACTATTTTAAATAGATGACAAATTATTTTCATGGATGCGTTCTTTGTAGTTAAGAATGGGCACTAACCCTTTTTTAATTTTAGTCAATGCTATTCTAGAGTTGTCTTCCTTTAGTTCTTAATTGGAAATTCTGTCCTTTATTTCGAGGCAGTGTGAGTGACTTGGTTTATTGTTTAACGTGAACAGAGTTACCTATAGGTAATATATAGGTAACTATATATTACTATAGATAGGTAACTATATGCTTTATTTTTATATATTTTGAGGAGTACTTTGGTATTTGTGTTGAATTTATATTTTTAATTCAACACAAAAAAATTTTTTTGCAAAGTGACTGCCTGCGAAGGCTTCTGGATTGGGGTTGGAAAGAGAAAGCAGAAGCAGTATGCTCCGTCCCATATTTGAGCAGACCATGTTGCCTTGGTAGACTGGTTTCACCAAAAACACTTACTTTGCTATTTATTAAAAGTTCTGATTAAAGAAGGCAAACAACAAAGCAAATTCTAATTATTTCCATTTTTTGTCACCACACCATTTCCATAAGATACCACCACTATGTTTCATCAACTTCTGTAACAATAATTATAAGCAGTTTTTAATCAGTTGGTTTTCACTATGAAGGGCCAGAATTTTTAGTAATTTCAAGTATCATCACTAGAAAAAAGCAACTTTATTATTTTCTGGAATGTTGCCATGATATCTTTTGGATTTTGTGATTGCAAACATATTCATATTATTACTAAAAAAAGTGAATGGACAAATCCGTAGGCTCAAGCTACACCTTTTACCATTTTTTTTTCCTTCTGTTCAGTCATGTCAATTCTCAGCCACTGCCTGGAAAAAATGTCTTGGCAAGCTTTTTGAGGAGTGGTTTGCCATTGCCTCCTTCCTAGGCTGAGAGAAAATGATTGGCCTGAGGTCCCCCAACTTGTTGTGTGCCTAAGATGGGACTAGAACTCGCATCTCCTGGCTTTTGGCTTGATGTCTTGACCACTATACCAAACAAGCCCTCTCCTTATACCCTGGTATGATTTTAAAAACCATAAGATAAAAATATATTGTTTCTGCATCAGAGTTATATATTTTATATTTATACCAAACTTCCAATGACATTATATACTTATTTGAGAAGAATTTGACCAGTTTTCTTTAGTTTAGTTTAATTTTTTTTAAGGTCATGATACAAAATTCAATATAGATGATCATTTTCTGTGCAGTATAACTTTCTACAGCAGATAATAGGACCTTACCCATTGAAGAGAAAAAATAGAACGTAAAAAAACAAATAAGTTGTGCTTACTTCAAATTAATGAAGATTAAAAATAAGTTTTCAGGACCTGTTTTTCACATATTCAATCAGTGTTCCGTATAAACTTCAGATAGCAGAAATACAGTATCTGATTATATGTATATGCATCTGTATACTTCATATCATCACTCATTTTATAACCACCTATTTCCAGTGTTGATTTTTCAAATAGCTATATGGAGTATGACTTAAAATGACAGTTTATGCAGAAATCTGTATGTTCATATTTCACATAAATCTCATAGCATTTTTCATGTAGGTTTAATAGGTATACAGCTATATTTTTATGGCTGATAAGAATCAACATTTCTTCAGCATCTATCTCCAAGTGTCTCTTTTGAACTTAAGATGATTGTGTGATGCATATCTTCAAAAGGAAGAGGTCCTTCATAATTTTCTAGGAATCCATCTCTATACTTCACCAACCTAAAATTCAGACACACACAGTGCAGTTAGTTTTAGTTTGGGAAAGCACAATTTTTACTAGATTAAACTACCCTGTCCTGGAAATTTATTCAATGTTAAATATGCATGCCTGCTGCCAACTGCTTTCTGTGATCTACAAATAAGTCTTCTCATATAGCTATATTTTCTCCACTCCTTGGAACATAAATAAATGCTTGCAAGATTTTACACTGGATATTCTTAAACTTTCGGTGCTAACCTGGATAAAGAAAATCAGATATCAAAGTTAGAGAATTCCAAAAGTCACTTACTACAGGAAAAATGCAACATAAAAACTAGTAGAATGATATTCTGCTATCGGTATTTTTAAATTAAACAAGATCTTCAGTTTATTCTGG